TGAAAACTTTGAAATTCAATCAAATAGATAGTCTAGGTATAACAAAAAGTTTACAGATTCTGTTAGATCATTCTTCCTTTGGAGGCAGTTTACTTTCCAACTCCCGATTTTTAGAACTTCATCCTATATTTTAAGGGAGCAAATTAGACTAACTCAATATATTTGAGTAAAAAATGTTTGCAGTTTCATCAGAGGCACTCATAATTGGGAATACCTATTACAGTTTATTGGCATACTTTTACACAAGGACTTTGATTTACAGTGCTTTTTCACATTTCTTGGCTCTGAATTTTAATGTAGTGTTAAGTTCAGAAACTATTTTCTGCTATGAGATTTATTTGGTGTCTTTTCAAAAGCTAGACCCCAAAGTTGGCACTTCTGAACAAACTACCAACACTTCTAATGAGAGTATTTCTGATTATTTGTATTTGTTAAGAATTCTTTAAGATGAATGAGCTCAAAGAATATTCCATTTATGCCTCAATTTCTGTAGTCCAACTTGGTAGAAAATGTACATTTTTAATAGCAATAATTTATTAGATAATATTTTAAGAGACTTTTACCCAAAATGAATAAATCTAGAGAAACAATATCTTCCTGCTGGCTAGCTTGCCAAAAAGCAATCTCTGGTCAGAATTCTTACTAATGGAGATTTAAAATATGTGTTTAAAAAGAAATTTTTGGACAATAGGAAAAGAAGCTAGAAGGAGTGTATATCACAATGATACATCTGACAAGTAACACACAGTCAATTAAAAAAATCAATTCTAGTAAATTTCAAGACTACTTAAGTTCAAAATAAGCCCCCCATCCAATTTTTAAAACACAGTCTGAGTATTTTGTGCCATTTCAAAATTTTAGCATTACTGACCTAGCACAAGTTATTTTCTATAGTTTTCCAACGGACCTGAGTAGATAGTTCTGTCATTCTCTGAGTGAATTTCAATATCACAAGTAACCTAATAAAAGTTATGTTTACCAGCAGTAAGTTTCCACAGACGAATTAAAATGTTGATCTTACTTGGTTTGGGTTGAAAAAGGAAATAATCTCATTGCACTAGCATTGATTATATGCTCAAATCTTTGATGGTAAACAAATTTAACTGTAATATAGAGAAAGATATAGTTTATTTGTTAATTAAGTTACTCAAAGAGTTTAAATCACTTCTCTAGAGCATTTTACCAGGGAGTATTTAAATCATATTATTTCTATGATTCATTTATTAATTTAACTTAACTTCATTTATTCATTGGTTTACCCAGTGATTCATCATAAAAACCTTTACTGAGCACCTATCATATTCTCTATCCTGGGCCTACAAAGATAAATATCATATTTTCTGTAGCCTACTAGGACAAATAGCCCAGTAGGGTAGAGATATAGTTTAAAAAGTAATTATGATACAATATACTTAAGATATGTGCAAAGTGATATGGTGCCCCAAACAGAGAATGGCTGACTTTGCCTAGTGTTAGGCCAAGAAAGATGTTATAAAGGAGTTTGATTTGGATCTTTGGGATGAATAGGAATTCTTTAAGTGAACTGAGAGTGGATCTAGGAAGAGTTAATTGCATGTAGTTCAAAAGATCACCGCAAGTTCAAAGAACTCAAGTGGTTCTTTGCGGTTAAAGAGCAGCCTTCGAGTGAGGAGCATATGAAAGGCATTGTTGGAATGGTGAGCAAGAGACAGAACAAAATCCCCTCCTGAGGAGCTGGCTCTTAGTCCTGATCTTTAATTTCTGACATTTTTTGTCTCCATAATTTTCACTATAGTAGAGGTCACATGTGGTGTGAGACCTAAAATTAAGGCCCAATATTGTGTGCTACCTTGACATCTGCTAGCATTGAGAGAGCCTCAAATGGCCTAATTGCAAGTTCCCCTCTTCACTCTACTCCTGCAGATATGGTTCTCTAGCCAAATAACCCTCCTTATCCAACTGACCAGGTGCAATTCCTGAGTATACCTTAGTAATAGGTTCCAGTTCAAACAAGCCAATCATATCCTTTGGTGGAACCGGGGCACATTACTCTCTGGATACCCACAACCCCTGGTTGTTCCTTATTGTGACGTCCATGTGGCCCTGCACGTTTTGTGGTGTCCACCTTCCCTGGACTGTGAGTATATGTGACTAATAAACTGTCGTGGATTTTATCTGTATAGTGTCAAGGGTTATGTAACCATCTATCCCTGTAACACAAGAAAAGGAACCTTCCCCCTATTAACAAGGTGAACAGGAGGTGATTGAAACAGCATGCCAGGAAAATATTAAACCATCTGAACACCAGTGAAGAGTTATTTTTGTGAAATTTTCAGTTCCCTGCCAATCATTTCTCATGATTAATCATAATTTTAAAGAATGAAGAAAGAAAGCACAAAATAGATTTTTGTTATGGTAAGAAAGAAGCAACCTTGAATGTTTTTATTAGGTTATCATAAGAAACCTTCCAAATTTTGTTACTTAATACAGAAAAGTGGATTTTGAAAACAAAAATTTCCAGACAATATTTACCTGTATGAGCTATTAAAACATGGGATTTTATCTTTTAAAGTCACTTTTCTGAATTCTTAGGGGTATATCCCATGCCAAAATGGCAGTTCTAGCATCTGGACCTGGTAATTCCCAATTCTTAGGGGGTATGTCCCATGCCAAAATGGCAGTTCTAGCATCTGGACCTGGTACCTCTTGGTCAAGGCTAATAGTTCTGGATGGAGATCCCTGGTTGTTAGAAGGGGGAAAAGAGATTTTGATGAGCAATGGATTCCATGGTTTCACAATTGGCGTAACACCTTCTATCAGGATATATCTACCTCAGAATGGGAATAAAGAAATGAGAAATAGGAGGTAAATCTAAATAAGAGGAGAGGGGAATCTGTAATTCTAAAAAGTTATATAATACACGACAATAGAGAACTGAGTCTTTCATTTGTCTGTTTACAAATCTACCGGAACATATATATTCAAGTGACGATATTTCTCTTGAAAATAACTGCATTATGCCTACAATTGCTTATTGCATTTTTGGTAACCTCTTTTATAACTGTCTTCAGAACCCATGGCATATATTTTTTCTGTAACCTTTCTGGCTGTAGATTTTCAAACTTTGAAAGTACACTGAAACTAGATTGCTTGAAAAATTTCCTGTTGTAAAATACCTATAATCGAGGATCAATTTAAAAAATGCATTAAAAAACAAATCAAACCACATGAAATTGACATCTTGGCAAGTGTTTTTCAGTTAAATACCGACAATTTTATGTGTGTTCAGCCCAGTATAATGCTGAGTTCACTAAAAGAAACAAAACAAAACAAAAAAAACAAAAACAAAAACAAAAAGAACCCAAAAGGCAGGGGAAATCCCCAAGGGTCAAATACTAAAAGCAGGCTGAAATTCAGAACGTTTGTCATGGTGCTGATGCTCTGGTAAAATAGAGAATGGGAATTGCATCCCCATTAAGAGGTCAGGATTTTTGAATTGTTACACTCTCAGCTGCAAGAAGAATGATAACTTTTTTTTTTTCCAAAGGGAAATGACAATCCTGCTTTTTTTTTTTTTTTTTTTTTTAAGAGACAGTGTCTTACTCTGTTGCCCAGTTTGGAGTGCAGTGGTGTGATCAGGGCTCACTGTAGCCTCGAACTCCTGGGCTCAACCATCTTCCTGCCTCAGTCTCTCAAGTTTCTGAAACTACAGGTGTATGTCACCACATTCCGCTAATTTTTAAAATTTTTTATAGAGATGAGATCTCACTGTGTTGCCCAAGCTGTTCTTGAACTCCTGGGTTCAAGTGATCCTTCTGCCTCAGCCTCCCAAATTGCTAAGATTACAGGTGTGAGCCACTGTGAATGGTCATAACATTTTCTTATAGCAATCTAGGCTTAGGGTAGGAAAAAATGACCTTTAGTTACGAGCCTACCCTGAGACAGGTTTGAGATTTAATTTATACAATCTCTGTGATAAAATATGTGCTGAAAATCGAAATTTGAATTAATTTTAAATTAGCTTGCCTTATTCTGCTTCTGCAAATAGAGAAGTAGCTTGTATTGGACCAACTGTTCTACAGATAACAATGATAAACTCTGGATAAGAATATAAAAAACTATCTGAAGGTACTGAAGCATGACCAAGGCAGGTAGAAACTGCAGTAGAGTCAACGCTTGCAAGAAAAATATGGCACTAGGTTGGTTTCTAGATTTTATAGTTTTTCACCTTATGGGCAGTCCCTCGTCTGGTCACAATGAAGTAGTGAAAATTCAGCAGCAACCCAGCAGACTTATTAGATGAGGAAACAGAGAACAGTGTAAGGTCATACAGAAACTAGAAAATGAGGGGAGAATCTGGAAAAGAGAGTGCCAAATGGAGCCCTAAATGTTGTAGATAAACTCTGCCCAAATCTCTGGATGACTATTGAATGTGCCCATTAGACCCAGCAGAGGAGAAAACAATGAAAATAGAGATTTTGCCTGGTTCCCATCATTAGGGAGACAGGGAGTTTGAAGCCAAATTGGCTGTATAAGCAAAAAGAACAAAGCTGGAGGCATCATGCTACCTGACTTCAAACTATACTACAAGGCTACAGTAATCAAAACAGCATGGTACTGGTACCAAAAGAGATATATAGAGCAATGGAACAGAACAGTGGCCTTAGAAATAATGCCACACATCTGCAACCATCTGATCTTTGACAAACCTGACAAAAACAAGCAATGGGGAAAGGATTCCCTATTTAATAAATGAAGTTGGGAAAACTGGCTAGCCATATGCAGAAAACTGAAACTGGACCCCTTCCTTACACCTTATACAAAAATTCAATCAAGATGGATTAAAGATTTAAACTTAAGACCTAAAAGAAAAATGTCTTTATGTTAAAGAATAGTTCATCAAATACTTCAAATATTTTTTCTTGGAATGTTAATACATACAAGGCTTTCTTTGAAGAGACTTTTCTACTCCAGTTGTATGACTAGAAACCTCATATAAGAACTATTTCATTTATCACTAGGCACTAGATGAACCAGCCAAGACTGAAAGTGTCTCCAAGGACAACACATTAGAACCACCAGTGGAGGTAATAACTTCAGATTACCCCTGCTTTTGGTATGCAATCCCAAAACTTATTGCTAACCCAGTACCTGGTTTCAATTCTTCCAGCTGTATTTCCCTGCACAGCTCAGGCAGCAAACTGAAGAGCTCTGTGCTACCATTGATAAGGTCTTACAGGATTCCTTGTCTATGGTAATGCCTTAGACTAGAATATGCAATTCAAACATTTGCTTTGCTTCTCTTCATTTTCCTCTACTTTAGTATGATGCCTCACAGGCTTGTTCTTTTCTTTCCTTTTCTCTTCTTCCTTCCTTCCTTTCTTTTTTTCCAGCATTCTTCTGATTCTCCTTCAAGGTCCCCAAAGACATTGTTGGGTTCTGACACAGTCAAAGTATGTATGTATTTAATATAATTTATGGAACCATAAGATTTATTAGATCAATGATTTCCAAACTGCAAGTCAAGGTCCAATAGTGAATTGAGAAATAAATTTAGTGAATAGCAATCAGTCTTTTTTGCAGAATTTTAAAGATAGCAAATATTAGACTTGGTTTCAAGTAATGTATAGGTTTTGTTGACATTTGATTACATGTACACATGCAATGCAAGGTAAGTCTATACAGGGTTGCAAAGTAGAATCTATTTCTGTGGGTCAAGTTCAAAACAATTTGAAAGCCAACATATTAGACTTTTTTTTTTTACGTTGACATTTAGAATGTATAATTTGTGGCTCATTCTCACTCAAATTATAGATTCAATATTTATGGAATTTATAGTCACTTAAAAATAGAGAAGTAAAAAATGAAGTAGACTAAAGTAAAATTAGTCTAAGAGGTTTAACAGAAGTAATATTTCTAGAATTTTTTTCTTTTTGCTGATTGAATTTATTTCGTTATTCTTTGACTCAAAGGGAAATAAAACTGAATATTTTAGATTGTTAGAGTACTACTAAACTATTAATTGTTGTAATTGTGTACATATTTCCTTCTTATAAAATAGTTATTTTCATTTGTTATTATAAAATACTACATTTTTCCAAATTATTTTTTTCAAACACTTAAGCTCTACTCATCTAAATTTCAAAATGCCTATGATTTTTCCTTTACTGAAAATTTTTAGTTATTAGTTACTGTTTTTCTTTTTTTTGGTCAGCCTTATTTATTTATTTCCTTGGAATTAGTATACTTTTTTCCTGTCCTTTCTTAAAACATGGGACACTGTGCATCTAAAGTAATTTTCAAATGTACAGAACTATACATAACTAGAAGAGTAATCCTAATTTTCAATTGGAATATTATCAATAAATATCCATTAGTAATGACATATAAAACCCAGTAATCAATTATTATCATATTAATTATATTTTAGCAGAGGATCCACAAATGGATAATTATAATTTCTGTATTTGAAGTCTATTTTGTTGTATATCCTTTAAGCCTTTAATCTGAAACTTTGATTTGTCAAAGATATTATATCAATTTTAAAATATAATTTTTTCTTATTTCATTTGTTGAACATGTAAAAGACCTGTAGTATATTAAATATGATGAGAATGGGATTTAAGAAGTTATATATAAATAATAATCTACATTACTGGTTTCTTTAACAAATATTTAATGCTTATGATGTTTAAAAAAAAAAAACCTGGTATTTTAGGCCACTTCATTCAAGGCAATTTTTCCTTCAACAGGTATTTAGTAAGCACCTACCGTAAGTCTGGTGCTGCAAGGCACTAGGAACGTAAGCAAGGCTGGGTAATCTAAGGCACATGCTTTGAATGTAGTGATCAAGGGGTAGAATTCAAGCTGAGACCCAAAGGTGGAAAAGAGCCAGCAACAGAAATTTTGATCAGGAATAATAGCTTTCAGGTACAGAAACAGACATGTGTAAATTTCCTGAAGCATGAAAGAGCTTAGTGTGTATGAAGATAAAGAAGACAGCCAATGTGCTTGCTGTACAGTGAGCTAGGGATGAACAGTGCAAATGATGTTGAGAAACCGGGTTAAGCACAGTAATTTAAACACTTATTTGCCATGGCATGAAGCTTTTATTCCAAAGAAAATGGGGAGACATAAAACCATGGTGGGAATAACATGAAACTATAGAAGATGATCAATATGGCTGCTGTGAGGAGGCTCCTGCAGTCAGGGAAACAGTCAGTGGTGGTGTGGTCTGAATACGGTGGGTTCAGAAGAGCTAGAGAGAAGCATGACCATTTGAGGCTTGCCGAGAGTTTGGGTGCAGGTAGTGAAGAAGAGAGAAGAATCATGAATGAACTACAGGTCTCTGCTTTGAGGACAGACAACAACGAAGGAAGAGCTGTATAGTGGCAGGCAGAGGGTTATGTCAGTTTTAGACAAGGATGAGTTGGAGTGCTTATCAAGAAAGCTTAAACCTGTGTGTTTGAAGCTGAGGGTCATTTGCACATAGACATTGCAAGTGTCCTGTACAGAGCTCCAAGGAACATAACATCACAGGTCTGAAAAAGGAGATGGAGAGCCAGTAAATAATAACGAGAAGGCTTTTATGGTAAGAGGAAAGTCAGAGCCGTGTGATATCATGGAAGCTATAGAAGAGAGTGTTTCGAGTATAATGATGTTGACTGCGGCCAAGGGTCAGAGAAAGATAAGTCTAAAGGAGTGTTTATTAGATTTCACTTGTATATTTTGAAACCATATTGCTGGTGCTTGTGTGTTGGCATTCATTCTCGTTTTTGAGTTTTTAGAAGCTTTATCGGCATATATAATCATTTTTTAACTTAAGGTTTTCCTCTTGAGTATTAATATAGTGACTTTTTATTTATAATTTCTAATTGTTGTTTTCCTAGATGTATCATTTACTGTTACTTTACTTTTTTTCATACCCTTTTGTCTAATTTTCTTCAGAACAGCATATTTCTGGATATAATTTTTACAGTCAATCAGATTCTATTTACCAGGGACCTTAAGCCACTTATAATTATTGCAATTCTTGTTATGTTAGGGTGAATTTTTGCTATCTTATTTCGTGTTTTCTATTTAAAATGTTTTTATTTCTCTTGTTTTTTTTTTCTGCTTTCCTTAGGCAATTTTGATATTTACTAGTTTAAACATCTTGAAAATTTTACTTTATATCTTGTTACTTCTGGTAGTTACATGTACATTCTTAAAGACAATTATTATGCTTAATTTTGTATCAATTTTAAAATGTATAAATGTCTTTCCCCAACATTTTGTAAGCACTATAGCATTTTTCACTTCCTACTTGTTTTTAATCAACCTGTATGTAAAAACACAAGCACATACACATACAATTTATTTGTATTGTTTTGAACTTTATGTCTGAACACTTCTTGATCTTTCCTTTGTTTAGATACTTATTTCTGATTTAGATCCTTATTTTGCACACATTCAAAGCTTTTTCCTGGGTTTATTGTTTTTCTTGTTGGAATCTTGCTTCAGTTGTATAAAGCAAGATCTTTTTGTGTAGATTTTGTGTGCTCTGTCCATGATAACATCTTTATTTTGCCTTTTCATTTAACTTATAGTTTTGCTGCAAATAAAATTGTAGGTCCTCTTTCTTCAACATTTTCCCCCTAGGTTTCTTTTTCTTCAACAACATACTTATGAATTATTTTGTCAGCATGATACTCGTTCCTCGGCTATAGAGTGATCATTTACAGAATTGCTGTACAAGCTTTTCTGTATAAAACTTTATCTTTATGTATGATCTTACAGATATTTTTTATGATGTATCTAGGCATGCATTTTTTTCTTGTATATTTTGATTGTTACTCTTTATGACCTTTCATATGAAGTCTTCCATCTTTTCTTTCCCTTACATTCTTGGTAATTTTTAATCATTATTTTTGCAAATATTTATTCCCACATGGGACTCTTATAATACTGATTTTGTCACTTTTGATTCTGTATTTCATGTCTCTTACTCTTCATATTTTTCTATTTATTATTTTCTAATTCCTTCAAGAGGAATCCTTGATCTAATATTCCAGTTCAAGATTTTGTTCAGTATCTATTCTTTCCTTCAATTCCTGCCTTACATTCGTTGTTGAAGCTGATGTAATTTTTTCTTCTAAATAAGATTTATTGAGGCATAATGTAATCACTGTAAACTCCATCCTTTTAGTTTACAGTTCTGAGTTTTGACAAAAGAATCCAATCATATAATTACTACCTCATTCCAAACAAAACATTTCCATCAACTGAAAAAGTTCCCTGTGCTCCTTTTTAGTATATACTTCCCTCTAACCCAAGTCCTGGGAAACCACTTATCTTTTCATGTGTTCCTATGCTTTTGCCTTTTCAAGAATATCATATAAATGTAATTATATAGTATGTAGTCACTTTAACCTGTACTTAGTAGAAGGCATTTGAAATTCATCCACATATCATTGCATGGATCAGTAGCTCTTTTTTTTTTTTTTTTTTAATTGCTGATTAGTAGTCCACTGTGTGGATGTTCCATCCTTTGTTTATCTATTCACCAGTTAATAGATGGTTGGGTTATTTCTAATTTGGAGCTATTACTAATAAAGCTTCCAAGAACGTTTGTAAACAAGACTTTGTATGGATATATGATTTCACTTATCTTGGGTAAATACTTAGGAGTGGAATAGAGGAACCATTGTTTTCTTTTATAGTATTTAAGTTTTTCAGATGTCTTATTATGTTTCCATGGAAACTCAAATTTCCCTGAGCATGTCAACTAAGTTGGGTGTATATATGCCTGGTTCCTGGGGTGGCAGGTCCTGAAACCCAAGTCCTAGCACTTGCCAATTCTGGTGAGGTTTATTTATTTATTCTTTAAGAGCAGGAGGAGCATGTGCTTCAGAAGGGAGAAGTGCCATAGTATCAGCCAGTTCCCACTTGCCACTTCCTCTCCACCCTGGTGACCCTGACCCTCCTTTCTGCCTCCCTGCACCTCTGCTTATGGTATATTCTTCTCTTCCAATAGCTGTCCCAGTCATCATTGCTAAGCAAGGGATCAAGGGAAAGATTCATCAGAAGCTGGCCAGTTGTTGAAACCTATAGTTAACTATTTTCTCCCTGAAGGCTGAAGGACCACTTTGATATTGTCTTCATTGTTACCTCTTTTTACTACCCTCAGATTTTAGTAGTCCCTTACTTCACCCCATTGATCTTATCTCTGATGTTTAAATGTGTTGTGGCATGAGAAAGCAGGGAAAGAATATGTAAAAACAAAACAAAACAACTATTTTGAAATGTTTGGCTGTTAAAAGGAAAAGGAAATTAGGTTGGTAGTAAGGTCAAGAAAGAATTTTTTGTTTTGTGAAGCTGAAAATGACAGATCAAATTTGCATATGGTGGCATTGGTCTCAGCAGAGAAAGAAGTACTGATTCTAGAGAAGAAGGGGAAATAAAGGTCTGAATATTTGTGCCCCACCCACCTACTGAGAATTCATATGTTGAAATATATGAAGGTATTATCAGATGGGGCCATTAGGAAATGATTGGGTCATGAGGCTGGGGACCTTATGAATGGGGTAAGTTCCCTTACAAAACAGTCCTGAGAGAAACCTCTTACCCTTTCCACCATGTAAAGACATACAAGATGGCCTCATCTATGAACCAGAAGTGGACCCTCACCAGACACCAAATCTGCTAGTGCCTGGATTTTAGACCTCTTAGTCTCCAGAACTGTGGAAAATAAACTTCTGTTGTTTATAAGCCACTCAGTCAATGATATTTGTGATAGTGGCCCAAATGTGCTAAGACCATTTGATAATAAGCTGGAAATGTCCTTCATTGTAACAGGATGGAAAATAAAGGACATGACAGCTACAGATGCAAGAATGTTTGTAGTTTGGTGGAAGAGAAATAATTTTATAACCAATATCTTTAGTTATTTCATAACTAACACCTTTCAATGAAGTAAAATATAAGATCATTAACTAAGATTGAGGGGAGAAGGTGTGATAAGGATGAATTTTAAAAAGTTAAAAAAAACTTTATATATTCTACTTTCAATTCCTTTTCTCCAGTTTCCTCTTAAATCTCCTTTTTTATGTCACCAAAACCACTTTTTCCAAGGTTCCTGAAGTCCTCTGCATTGCAATAAACCCAGTCCTGAATTGAGATGACAGCAACAAAATTTGAGACAGTTGCTCACACCCTCCTCTTTGATACATTTTCCCTCTAGAGTATTTTAGAATGCCTTACTCTATCTGTTTTTCCTCTATCTCCCTTTTTATTATTATTTCTTAGTCTCCTTTGCTGGTTCATCTTCTTCTTCACAAACTGTTAATGTTGGAATGCTCTAGTCATGAGTCCTCAAACTTCTCATTTCTCTGTATATTCATTCCTTTGGTGATCTCACTCTGTTTTATGTTATAAAAACTAACTACATATATGCTGACAACTCTATTTCTAGTCCACGATTCTCTCTCAAACTGCAGACTTCCAAATACCTACTCTTCATTTCCATTTAGACTTCTAACAAATGTCTTATCCTCAATATGCATACAAATAAAATCTAGATTTTCTCTGACAAAATGATTCCATATGTTGCCTTCTCATCTCCATTGGTAGAATTTCACTCTTTCATTTGCTCAAGGCCAAAAACGTTGGTGTCATGTTTTATTCTTCTCCTCCTCTCACATTTCACATCTCTTCTATAGAAATCCTGTTTCTACAGCTTCAGAATATGTCGACTATGGTTATTTCATGGCTTCTGCACTACTGAGCCACTGTGTTTTGTTGGATAGTACAAGAGTTTTGTCCCTATACCTCTGACTCACAATAGTTTATTCTTAACACATGAAATGCAGAGAACCTTTTAAAGCATAAGTCAGATCATGACCCTCCTCTATTTAAAGCCAGAAGTGCTTACACATTTCCCTCAGAATATAAGGAAAGTCCTCACAAGGTCCTGGAAGGGCCTGTATGGTCTGGTGCCCCAATGCTTCTGTGATTGCCTTTTTCTTCCAACTCTCTCCTTTACTCACTCCATCCCAGCCCACTAGCCTCCTTGCTGTGCCTTGGATGTGTCAAGCATGCTCCTGTCTTAGCACATTAGTTTCTTTTCAAATCAGTTATATCACTGATCTTTTTATAGTTTCTATCATACTGTGAAAAATGTTCTGCCTTTATCTCCAAAATCATGATTAAGTATGGTTGTTTTCAGTCTGGTTCTGAAAAGACACATGTCTTAATCTCTGGGGGTCTTTTTTTTTTTTGGTTGTTTATTATTTCCGCTCATCCTCATTCACATTGTCTTGCCTTTTTGTGTATCTGAATCTGATTGTATGCTAGATATCCTATTTGAAAATTTCTTAATAGAAATGGAGACTTTATATGATATTACCTTTCCATAGAAAGTCTTTTTTTTTGTTTCTGTCAGACACTGGGAGCACTAGCAAGAAAAAACTACCTGAATTTAATTTAAGGTTCTGAGATTATTTTTTTCTGGACAGTCATCTTCAGATGATTTGATACCAGGTTGAAGACTATGTGAGTCTTCTGGGTCACTCTTACTCCTAGGGACCCAATCTGTTCTTGGCGAGTCCTGGTTGACTTTTCTCTATATGTACCTGTGAGATATCAAAAGTTTGGGTTAGCTTCTCAAGCAACTCATCATTATTTGCAAACATCCCCAGGACAAAAGCAGTTCTGAAATGCTGAACTTCTCTCTTCAGGTTCCCATCCTCTTTTGATTTTGCCCAGCAATTATTCGCTCTCTTTTTAGTTCATTGATGTATTTGATTAAATATTTTTCAATATATTGGTCAGTTTTTTATTGTCCTTTATGGAAAGATTATTTCCAGTTTTCTATCCACAATTCTCAGTGGAGAAAATCCACTTTAGAAACTTTGCACTTGTTCCCTCTTGTTAGAATGCTCTTTATTTAGAATACCACACACTCAACTCCCTTACTCCTTCAAGTCTTTGAAGTCTCCTTCAAATGTCACCTTCTCAACACTGATCATCTAATTTAAAATTGTAAACTCCCAGCACTCTTGACCTCCTTAACATCTAGGTGGTCCAGAAAAATATGAGGTATTTCATAGAAGCAAATAAATTTTTATCTGGAAGCACATATATTGCCCTAGGCTTCAAATTATTTCTACTCTTTTTCATTGTATTTATTCCTTTCTAACATATAATTTACTTATTTATGATTTCATTGCTTATTTCTCTTCTTCCAGAATGTGAACTCCTCAATGGTGGGACATTTTTTCTCTTCTGTTTACCAATAAGTCCCAGGGGTGTAGAACAGTGACTGGCACACAGTAGATGCACAATAAATATGTGTTGAGGGGATGAATGAATCAAATAGCTATTTCATCTCAGAAAGTGGGCCTACAAAAGCAGAATTTGGGGCAGTACCAAATGCACATTTGAAATTGATAATTATTAATTTAAAATGAAATTAATTAATTTGTTTGAAAGAGTTTCTCCAACAATGTTTTGCATCTCAGATACAAGTATGGAGAAAAATGGATGGCAAGGCCAATTTAGGGTTGAGTTCTTTTTTTTGGAAGTGAACTTGTCACAGGAAGAGAGAAGATAAAAAAATAAAAGTATTAAAATGACTTATAATATTAAATAATACGAGCTAAGAGGTAAAGCCGGAATAACGCTGATGAAGGTCAGTGATTTGGAAGTCCCAATGATGTGGATGTTGTACTAGCAGCACTAGAGAAATGAAGATGATGGATAGGAGGTAGAGGTCTGAGTGTGGGACATTTGTAATTGAAATTTCTGAGAGTTTCTGTTTTACTGGCAAAGGTAAAATTAAGGAGCTTTCTGGGAGTGAATGATTGAAATGGAGTAGATGAGAACATCTTTGGAATTGAGGAGCTCAAAAAGTTGAAAAGACAGAGATTTCTACATGAGTTTTGAAATAGGCAAAAATTACAGAAGAAATGTGAGGAAAGAACTATTATGATCTATGAGTTAATGTCATCAATAAATAAGGAGAAATTAGCAGAAAGTTGAGAGATAAAGTCAGTGAAGAGAATAATCAAGTGATATCATTTTATAAAATAATTTTCAAAAAAAGATATTGTATAGAGAGACCAATGTTTAGAAAGTCTCAATTGAGAAGAAGGTGAACACATTCCAGACGTTAAGTCTATTATTATTTACTTTATTATTTCAGAAGTATAATTGTTTTTATTTTCATACAGACTCCCACAACTCTTCCAAGAGCAGCTGGTCGAGAAACCAAATATGTAAGTACCTTTATAATTATACACACTGTTTTTCAAATGGGTGCCTGTGTATACTTTGGAGAGAACACAATTATACAGTAATTTAAATAGAATTAATTGATTTTTTTAATAAGTTAAAGGGTAGGATGATATGATTGGCTCAGATACAGAAAATCAGGTTATGTCAGAGATAAAACATCAGGCATGCTTATCAAATAAATTTGTTCTTAACTGAGATCTAGTTGGATTAGTTTAGCTAAATAAAACAGAACTGCCACACCTGCTTCCTGATTTTCTAGTTATCAACACTTAGATGACATTTTCATTTTTTTAATGGTTTATTATGCTTATCGAATAGTCAACTCATATACTTGAAATATTAAGATTTTTCCCTTTCTAATGGGATTGCCAGTTTAATCAACTTTGACTATTTTGTTGCTTTCCTGCATTTAAATTATTAACAAATAAACCAATTTCCACTTTTGAGCAAAAACAGATCGATCATGGATAGATATAGATTCACATTCAAGTCAAATAATTATGAGTAGCTGGCTCTGAGTATGTTAGACATACACATGCATAGCCTCATCCCAACTCCAGTGTTCACTCACCTAATAATTGTATTTTCCATCATGTGGTCAACTTCTGCTTCTGACCAAATGTATTCTAGTAGAAACAAGATTAACTCCTTAGTAAGTGTTTAGTTTTAAGTCTAAAACAAATTAGTAAACTATTCCATTTAAGTTATGCATTTGTAGTTTTTATCATAATTATGAAGAGTAAATAGTTATTAAATGTGTATTTTGTGCCATATCATCATTGTAATTTATACAGTTCTTCCTCCATTGGAATCTCCCCAAGGAAAGTAATAAACTGGGTGAAATTACTAAATTTTATAACATCCAGAAAATCGTGTTCAGAGGATGTGGGTAGGAACACTGCTTAGACCATTTTCTGGAAGTTTCACTGTTATTTTTCATTATTATTGGAAGCCATTGAGAGTAATACTTAAAAATAATGAAGGCATTTAGTAGACTAGACCCAAGTTTAAAATCAGTGTTGCTTTTAGATAGCTATCTGATTCTGGGAAAATTACTCACCATTTTACCTTTCTGTGCCTTTGTTTCTTCGTCTATGAAATGGGGATACTAATAATTTTCTTATGTAAGATTTATATTAGCTAATCTATGAAAAGCCCTTAATGCAATCCTGATACAAAGGAATTGCTCGATAACTAAAAGCTTTTTCTTTCCTTTCCCTTTTTCCTTTATTCACACCTCCTTTCTTCTCTTCCTCTTATCTATCTTTGGAAGACTAGAAGTATCTTGATTTAATTGAATTCCTTGATTCGTTATTGGGTACAAGAAAAGAAAGTTTCCTAAAGGTGTTTCTATACTTTTTGTGACTAATACATTTTACAAGAGCCAGACCCCCAAAAAAGTCACTGGAATTTTTGCTCTGTCACTCACCTTCTTAGCTTACCTACTCTGGCATTTCAGCAAAATGTCTCTAATTAGATTAGTTTTCAATAGGTTCAGAGAGTTGTTATCATTATCCATTCCTCTCTGGGAGTGGTTAATTTGGTAGCAATTGAAATGATTCTGGAGCGACTTCTTCAATCTCCATAGTTAGAAATTATTTGAAATTATTCTTTACTTTCAATCAATTATCATACTTAATTAAAGCATGTTAACTTTCATGCCTTTAATGTTGTGAGAGCATTTAAGTCATTCAAAGTAAGAATGAACCATCAAACAGCTTCAGTATAGGCTAGAACAAATATAAACTCTAATTCAGATAAGATTCTTGACCCTAATTAAAATTCGTTTCTTGAGTAAGAAGCTTTGTTTTTACTTTATTTTACAACATGACATTTGAATTGTTGTTTGTGGCCCCTAAAATACGTCCGTGTCTTTTGGAAGACCATAAGGGATCATTTTACAATGAAAGGTCAAAACTAGTTTGGCGCCGACTCTCGGATTAGTCATATTTGTACATATTCGGCTGTAGTTATTACAATTTACTAGGTGATGTCTGATACATTTAGTTTGAGGAGAAAAGATTAAATTTTAGAGCAGAAGTCCACTTTAGCTATAAGCTTTAGTCTTGAGTGAACAAGAGCTTATCTTGTATGTCTTAAATACAGTATGTTCTGATTTTTTAAAAAGAATGACACTAATATTTTCTTCTAAAAATTCTAATATTTGTATTGACTCAGTTATGGGATGTCTCACTTTAAGTATGAGTTTACTAGCTGTGATTTAATTAATTCATTTATCACTATATACTTCTCTCTTTCCCATGACAACTAAAAAGCGACTCTGAGAAGTCTATTTCTGTAACATTTCAATATTTCACCATCTGTCTTCAAACTTTGGAGAAAGTTGTCATCTTCAGAGTATATACCTGCTGGGACTCAGTGAGTCCTTGACTTTGTAAATATTCTTAGATTAAATTCAAAGGCAGGGATCATGCAGGTTACCAACTCCTATACCACAGAGGAGGTTGAATAAAGGGAAGACATAAATTAGAGCCAAGAAAAAAAAGTTTGGTTACACTTGAGGATATCCTGAACAAGTTAGTACTGACCACCTAAAATTCCTATTTGTGGAGGCTCTTTAAAAGTATATCTGATTACTACACATTATATGTCTCAAAACACCACTATGCAGCCCATGGATATGTACAATTATTATTTGTCAATTAAAAAATAAAATTAAAAAGATATAGTATATAATCTATGGATCAAGACTAGTAGAAAAACTAGTCACTATTTCTAGCCCTGTTATTCAGTTTTCTACCACTATTCATTGATTCAACAAATATTTATTGAGTGTCTACCAAGTACCATTCACTGAGGAGTCACTGGGGTGAGAGGAGTGAACACAATGACAGGATGCCAATTTCTGAAGCATATATTCCAATGATAAGACAGATACAGATAGTAAATAGTTAAAATAGTAAATGAGCAAGAAACTTTATTGTAGAAATAGAGAGGAGGTAGCCAGAGAACCTATTGATGTTAAAACCAACTTACAAATTTGCTAGTTTTCAATGTATTTGTAGGTTTTCCAGTTTTCCTGGGATAATTATAATGGTTTAATAAAAGAATAAGAAAGTGTATGGCTAATTCCGCTTTATAGGCCTTTGGTGAAAGACTGTCTTCTCTGGAAAAAAAAAAAAAAAAGAAAAAAAGAAAAATAAACAAGGAAAATCAACTCACAATAATGTTTCTTTCTTTGGGTCTTTATTGCAAAAAAAAAAAAAGAAAAAAAGAAAAATAAACAAGGAAAATCAACTCACAATAATGTTTCTTTCTTTGGGTCTTTATTGCACATATTGTGACATTTCATACAGTCTGTTTTTTAGGATGAGCCAGGTGTAGTAAGAGCAACACTAATTCAGACTAATTAAAGTAAAGGTTTTCTCCAGTCTGTGGTGGTCTTAAAATGCAGGCTATTTTAAAATAATTTAATTGGGATTCTTTTAAGTGGTAATAGAATTGAAACTAGGCTAACAATATGTTGAACAGGGAGTGAGCCTTTTGTCACTTGCAGGATTGATTAATTTATTTCATTCGATTATTTTAAAAAGATGCTAAATTCAACAATAATAATAACTAATATTTTGAGCTCTTACCTTGAAAATAAAGCTTAACTATCTCATTTAAACCGTATACCAAAACTATGAGGTGGGTATTATTATTTTAAAATCTCCATTATACTGAGGGGGAAAACAAGTCTGAGAAGTCAGAGTAGGCAAAACCCAACCCAAGTTTTCTTCATGTCAAAGTTTCTGCCATTGATACTTCTATATACTTGTAGAAGTGTAAGTACATATGGAAATAGTTTGCATTCTTTAAATATTTTATCCATTCATATTTATACCCTTGCTCCAAATTATTTCTTCATGCCCAATAACCTTCAGCCTAAACTTAGAAAGAACAATTTCATATTTGGTCATATTAACATCTAAAATGATAGTGATTTACTCTTTCCAGGGTTTTAAATCATGAGCTTAAATGTACATTAACTCATAATATATCAGATAAGGTATAAGAGAGTTATTTCTTATTGAAAATCATTTTTAAAGTTTATTTCCTTAATGTAAATAAATAGATTTCCTTTCTAAACAAATTTTTAATATATTTATTTTTGTGGGTACGTAGTAGTTATATATGGAGTACATGAGATATTTTGATGTAGGAACGCAATGCATAATAATTACATCGTGGAAAATGGGGTATCTGTCCCCTCAAGCTTTTATTCTTTGTGTTACAAATAATCTGATTATACTCTTTTAGTTATTTTAAAATGTACGATAAAATTATTATTGACTATAGTCACTTGGTTGTACTATCAAATACCATGTCTTGTTAATTCTTTCTATTTTTTTTGTACTCGATAACCGTCCCTACCTCCCCACCCCAAAGCAACTCCCACCATTCTCAGCCTCTGGTAACCATTCTTCTACTCTCTATCTCCATGAGTTCAATTGTTTTGATTTTCAGATCCCACAAATAAGTGAGAACATGTGTTGCTTGTCTTTCTGTGCCTGGCTTATTTCATTTAACATAATGACCTCCAGTTCCATACATGTTGTAGCAAATGACAAGATCTCATTCTTTATAATGGCTGAATAGTACTCCACTGTGTATAAGTACCATGTCTTCTTTATTCATTCACCTGTTGAAGGACACTTAGGTTGCTTCGAAATCTTAGATACTGTAAATAGTGCTGTGGCAAACATGTGAGTGCAGATACCTCTTTAATATACTTATTTTCTTTCTTTTGGGCATGTAACCAGCAGTGGGATTGTTGGATCATACATGGCAGCTCTTTCTTTTTCATTTTCTGAGGAACCTTGAAGTTGTTCTTTATAGTGGGCGTACTAATTGGTGGTGTACAGTCCCACCGACAGTATATGAGGGTTCCCTTTTCTCCACATGCTCATAAGCATTTGTGATTGCCTGTCTTTTGGATTAAACCCATTTTAACTGGAGTGAGATAATATCTCAGTGT